AAAATAGCCTCGGTAATTCTAATCCCGAAACTAGGCAGGTTTCCCAGCTTGGAGAACCTTTGGCCTATATCCTTAACCTCATGCATTGGTAAAGTTATGGAACATGCAGTGCATAATAAAATATCTAGATACATTGAGCACGAGGGGCTCTTCCCGTACAATGTGATAGAATTCCGACCAGCTCTTTTCACCCAGGATGTTATGCTTCTACTCAAAACACAAATCTGAGACTCGCAGGACAAAGATGTCAAGGGAATCCTCTCTGTAGATTTAACCAAAGCCTTTGACAGAATCACTCATGAAGGCATTCCTAAAGAAATATCTGCTTGGAACTTGGGAAACTTTTTTTCTTTTGTACGCTTTGTAAAGCAGAATGGCAGTCATGCGCATGGGGCATTTGACATCAGAAGTATACACACTTAGAAACAGAAGTACTCCGCAAGGGGCGGTAATTTACCACCTTTTATTTATTATCGTCACGAGCAAACTATCAAATAAGCTTCCAGCAGCACCACACATCGGCCATGTATTATACGTGGAAGATATAACAATTTGATGTCCAGGATAATTGAAGACTACTGTATAACAAGCTCTCCTAGAAGATCTCGATGCAACTGAGTCTTGCCTGGCAGACACAGGATTTGCGCTCTCTCCAGAGACATCATAGCTCCTGCTGTACAGACAAGCACGACGGGGGCTAGGGGATTAAAACCCCTTAGTGAAGTACCCATCAGTATTCACACTGGTGATGGACGCGACATTCCATCAGTAGATTCCACTAAGATCCTGGACCTTGTGATAGATGCCAAAGGATGTAATATCAGGGCCATAGCTCACCCAACCACAAAGGGAGAAAACATAATTAGGTTAATCGTGAGAGTTTTTTTCGGTAGGAAAGGCGGAATAGGGAAAGACATGCTACTTAGTGTTCATTATGCTTTACTCATGAGCCACGTGAACCACATAGTATCGGCTCTCAATTGGACACAGTCAGAAAAGAATAAGAGAGAAACACGTATGCGCAAAAGCATAAAAAAGGTGCTCGGTATCCCAATAACAACCATTACAGGGATGCTTTTTAAGTTAGGGCTCCATAATACCATGAGTGAGCTAGCAGAAGCACAAAAAGTGGCACAAATTACCAGAATATCCAGTACCAAAGTGGGAAGAAACCTGTTAAGCGCCGCAGGCCTACAACCTAGCATTGACAAAGGTGAGGCAATTCAGCTCGACAATCATGTCAGGTAGTCGATCATTGTTAACCCATGCCTAAGAAACACGAATCCACAGTTTAACAAGGGTTGAAGGCTCATGAGGTTAAAGGCATTCCTAAAAAATCTGACGGGTACAGAAGCATTCGTGGATGCAGCCCGTCAGGAAAATGCCGGCAGATTTTCAGTCACTATCGTGGATAACAAAGGAGACCTCCTTTCGTCCGCCTCAGTTTACACCTTAATGGCAGAAGTAGCTGAACAGGTAGCGGTGGCTATGGCGCTACTAGATCCTAAACGCACCACTACTTACACTGACTACCAAGTGGCTGTACAGGCCTTTCAGTCGGGTCTAATTTCAAAAAAGGCAGCTTGTATTTTTAAAGGTAGGTGCATGTGAGACGAACCTCGCCACATGATCTGGTTTCTGGCATACTTAAGTTGACTTAATACCGGGCCGCCCGAACTCTAATGAGATGGCTCATGATCGTGTGCAAGGATTTATAGGCTGCAGCAATCAGGAGCACTCTAGTAGTTTGGAATAGCTCGAGTTCCGTCACTTTTCACAAAATTACCTCACACTACAAAGGCACTGGACAAGTGTTCCCATCCCCCCTCTCCCCATGAACTTAATAGAGCTCAGTCTATCACACTGAGAATGCTCCAAAGGGACTCGTACCCCTCAAGAAGCTTCTCCAGTATGGTACATGCGGAGATGTACCCAACATGCCCAGACTGCGGAGAAGAAAACTCATTAAAATGCATGCTCTAGTGATGCCCTGCGTTGCAGGACTGTTGTCAAGAAGCCTGATGGACCATTGCCATCAATGACCCGAGCTACGACGTCCAGCTCCTGGCGGTCCGGAAGGCCCGTGAGAGGGCGGAGAGGCTCGGCTTCCTTGTCCCGACATGGGTCTAGTCAGAAGTTGGATGTATACGCATCTCATTCTCTTCCTTCTAGACCAAATAAATGTCTTTTCTCTCTTCTCTCTTTAAATTCAGTTGCTACGTTAAATAAATGTAAATAAAAGAAAATGGAAAGAAATGAGTCGTAGAATAGACGGTTATTTATATGAGCATATACAGTACAACATAAGAGCAAGCGGGATGTGCGTTACTCAACTAACAATGTTGTGCAGGTTTATATCTACACCACTAGCCATGGCGTCTCACGTCATGCGTCGTAGTTCGTCCAGTTATAGCTAGTCCAGTTGTCTGACTGTGTTTTGTTCGTGCTGTGAGAGAGTGAACGCACTTCTTGCTGGATTCTGTCAGTGACCAGACGGAGTGACATTGTGACGAGTGATTACAATTGGCTTGTGCACACGCAAAGAAAAAACACAGCCAGACTGGTACAAATGCTTGACTAGTAGCACTGCGATGACATTTTTTAATGTGCTCATTTGTACAATCGTGATGACAGGTGATTCTAGTGCTGCGCGCGGACCTTTCTGAAAAGTGAGAATTCTACTGGTGAGGTGCCTCGAAGCAGTGTGTTTCGACTTCTTTAGTCCGTGTTCTGCCCAACTGGTCAAGCGTGAAACGTTCCTTAACTTGCGTTGATTACACCCTCCAGCCACTCGTTATACGTGCACACGCACAAGAATTTGTAACAACTGTCATCCACTAGACGTGCATTAAACACGCTCCTGACGTTTCAATAAAAACCGACAAGTTAACTCACTTCGCAGATCCGCGTCGACCTATATGCCGATAGAGTTGCACGAAAGCGTTCGCGTGATACGTTTCATAGCCACACTTCATGGAGTGCTTCTATTCGGTTAGTACAAAGCAAGCTGAAGAGAGCGAAACCGTTTTCTGTTGTTTTACGGCCACCGAGCATTCTTGAAAAATGCGGATATTGCATTGAATGGGTACCGCGAAACAATCTTCGTCGACTTGGTGCACACTGAAACGTTCCTCTTCTTCAGTTTATGTCCGGGCTACGATTTCGTCTTTGCTCATGCAAGGATCTGGCTGGATCCATATGCGCATGCGTACTCATTCTGAACCTTTTACACAATAATAAATAACACCACCAGTTATTTACAAGATTATGGGCAAGGAATGCACCAGTTACTGAGGCGGATGGCAGAGAAAAGGAGGGGAAAGCGAGAGAGTGAGGAGGACATCTTGAGAACAATGAGTGACATACCTTGAAACTTGTTTCATGTAGTGAGCCTAGTCGCGCGCGCTTTCGCTTTGACGAAACACACTGAATCACCTGCGCCCTCTTCCACGCCTATCCTTAATTACCCCGGAGCCTGCCGCCAGAGCCAGGTGCGGCATTGTCACTCTGCAAACTTCAGCTTTGGTTCTCTATAGAGCAGCAGAAAGATAATATCACACCAACTAGCCCCCCCCCCCCCTTTTGAAAACTTATAAAGTCACATTGGTCGGCCTGGCATGTGCAGTACGTTAGCAATTTGTTAATAGTCGCGGAGTTAATTACACCACCTAACTTTCAGGCTCACTGCGTCACTTTGAAGGTGCAGCTTGGAAATTGTAGTTGTTATTCATCTATTGGCAAATTGTTGGCCCGATATGCCCGGTCTCTTTAACATAATATAGTGTCTATCACCGGTATTTAAAAATACGCATACACCATTCTAGTCGAGGAACTGACGTCATCAATAAGGCACGCGTGCAGGTAGGAAATCCACTAACAAAAAAATTTCACCGACTATTACAATACTGCCTAATTGAGCTCTGAGCGTGGTTATTTAGGTGTTTTGATTTCGTAGCAACTTGAAGAAAATGGTTCTGCTTCGACGGCGCGCAATATTTCATTCTTGCGTCAGCAGCGCTGCGTTGGACCAGCAAAACTGTGTGACTTTCCAATCAAAAAGCCAGCGAATGCACAACGTTTTCAGAAGTTCGAGGCGAAAAGTATGAACTGTGCCTCTAGCCATTGTGAAGCTGAAAGCTTTGCAACATACCGGCCTGCCATGCGGACTCGAATCAAACTGCTCGGTGCAGATGTGGTAGTAGGTGTCAAAAGAGGTGCATCCACGTCAAAGGCAGCTATGTCATCTCACTAACTGTACTACACAGTCTGCAAATTGCATTAACGTCAAACAGAGCTGTAACTACTCCCGATCTCATGCCTATTACCATGAAAGAGAATCAATCATGGAATTTTTACCGCAAATGTGCCGGGCAGAAGGATGCATAGTGGGTCGGTGCTCTTCTTCAGTGACGTAAGCGGTGATATAAATAAACCCATTGCAAAAATACAAACTATATATGTACTTACACATTCATGAAAGCACTCTAGGTGAAGTTGCAGATATTTGAGGAACATAATCAAGCAAAAATGGAGGGCTACCTTCGTTTATGATTGAAATTCAGAGTAAAAGCTGTGGCATTCAAGACTGCCATTTGTGTTTGACATTATTTCTCCGATTCATGCACTTGTGCTCCAGTGAATGATTGTATTGTTAACCTCCTTTTGAACCCTTAAAATTGTCTTTACTTACTGATAAAAATTCTGGTATTTGTTCTATAGGCAATCACCTGTATTTGAATGCTTTATGCACTCGTACGATGCATGCTACAAAAATACATGCATGCAGTCTAGAATTGCAAATCTGTATGTCCTTTACGACAACATTACTAATGTTTCAAATAAAATACTGCTTACAATGGTGGGAAATAAACCATTTGTGATCTTTTTACCACAAAGCTTTTCTTAGCACTTACTTAACCTATTTTTAGGTGCAGCGTGTCAGCTCTACTCTTGGTGGGCATATAACTTGCCTGCAGTTTGGAAAATGGTGATCCAGTGACGGATTCAGCGTGTGGTGTGGAGGACTGCATTGCGGCATCGGGGGCTGGAGGCGAAGCAGCGCTGCGGCTGTCAACGTAGTCTGAGGGAACTGACAGTGATGCTCTTGAGCCCAGGTACTTGTGCTTAGCGGCCACACGTCGCCTCCGCACAAGTGCCACCAGTGCTGCCACTGCCAAGGCTGACACTAGCAGGCCCGCCAAGCACAGCGATGCCACACAACCCGCTCCACAGGATGTTGCAGTAACAGGTGCCACTGACCCACTCGGCTCTGCATGCATTTATTCAGGTCAGTCAGTTAGGAAAAGTGTAAAGGCCAAGAATAAGAGGAAGATAATATTTAAGATAAAAAGGAGGGGAGATTGGCCAAGAGAGCATGTTAGTAGCCTGACACTTCTCACTTGTGTTACCTGAAAAGCGAGAGACAGAGGTGAAGGGAAGAATAGTTTACAGGTCACTATGGTATAGTACAACGAGTAAATGTACACGTATTGACCTGTACGTGGTCGTGCGCTAGGTTCTAGAGCTTTCACCAAAAGCGCTGACACTGTGGACTAGCATTTAGGCGTGTCTCACTCAGGGGCTTCATAAGACATTTAAGATTTGATTGGGTATCGTGAACACATCTCCATGCACCTTAATGTTTCTCCTCCAAAAAGGGCCGGAAGTACAGATGATTTTTTACGTATTTGGCTGAAGTGCGTTCAGCCGCACACTGAGGACACACGTAAGAGTATTTTGTGCATATTCTCGAAAGTGTGACGCGTGCTACAGTCAAGACTTAGTTATCGCTCGGTCTTGTGAAGGTATCGCCGACGGCAAGCAACACCCAGCCGTATTTAAGCAGTAATGTTTCTTAACCTCTTCACAGCCGGAGCGAGAGAGTTCAGACCATCACCAAGTCTACGTACGTTCTCTAAATTGCCGATGGTTAGGGTCATCCAGTAGTTATGTCATAAAAGTTTTTATGTCATTTAGCTACACAACAGGGCACTGATGTCATCGGGGAAACGTGTATTATTATGATGTCATCGTTAGTGAGTGCTAACTTTTTTTCTCTGTCAGCCTACTCATTTCCAGCTGTTCTATATTGACTCAGGATAAAATGCAATTTACTAGTATAACGAGATTTAGATGCCTTGATTAGCAGAGAACTGCATGTGGTTCCTTGGTTCAAATACCTGCTTATTAGTTGAGTAGCTGTCTTAGTCACAAAATGTATATTCTGCAGGGCTTTGTTCTAATATGCAGCGGGAAGCTTCTTGGACGTCAGTCAACTCAGTGGCAGCTGACAAAGTATTAGGTGTTGCAATGGATCATTGGGTGACACTCATTCTAGAAACTACCAAAGCTGGTGTTGGAAGCTGTGCGAATTGTAAACTTGATATTGAAAAAAGAATGTTCGGACTAACTTAGCAAAAAATGTTTCTGTCTTTTTCTGGTTTTGTTCTCTTAAGTAAGTACTATTAGGAAGCGTGGGGTGTAGACTGAGAGCAAATAGCAATTCCCGAATTTTTTTTTCGAGGGTTTCGCTCACAGCTCTGATGAACATTACAATCTCACAAGTAAAAAAATGAACTCAAGGGGCGTGCGGCAAGACTACAAAGCGGTATGCTCCAAATAGCGTGATGCTTGCGTTTTCCCTAGTTTTTCATGCTTCTTTCCATTGCGATGACAATCATATGGACAGTCTCGGCTGGTTTTTACCGTCGCCAAAGCAGCCGTCATACACCATATATGTACACGTATCTATATATAGGAAAACTCAAGAAACAAAAAAGTCACAGCTTTGCCGTGAAGGCGAAGCAATGAACGCGATAGCAACCAATTGGAAGGTCATGTTCAGAATGGCCAGCATATAGAAACGTGCCTCGCGCTTCTTATTGTTATGCCTGTGAGTCCACAGCGAACGTCCATGCCTCTGAAAAAGGCAATCTGTATCAAGGCCAGCACGTGAGCCCGCCTGACGCGGACAACTCAACGGCGTCATCACGCGGTGGCGCCTTTGTGCCGCACACGCACAGTGAGTCACCTCAGCTAGCGAGCCTGTCGAAGCAATCAGCGTCTTCCTGTCTGGCGAGTCTGACGCAATGCGTGCCGACGTCACTCGTCTTTGGGTGCAGCCACGTGCAGCGCAGCGGCTTCAGATTCGATGACGCGGCCAAGCGGCGACCCCTTTGGAGGATTCTTACTTCACGACCAGCGGCGTTTCTGGTTGGACATTTGGTTACGCAAAGAATCCACCCGGTGCATATAAAAGAAGCCCTGCGGTGCGTCGCGAGGAGCAGACCTATGTGTTAGAGAAGAGAGCTCAGTTCTTCGAGTCTCTAAGTTGTCGGCCCCAGTGCCGAATTTGTAATGCCTCTGTATATATGCTGTACATAAATCTTGCTTAAATCACCGTCGTCTCGTCCGCTCGTCTATCAGCTCTGCGCAGAAGCAGTCGCGAACTGAGAAACCTACGCTACCAAACTGCTGGTGACCTTCCCGGCGGAGTTCGAAGCAGTGGCGCCTTCGGGACCGTGTTGGCGCCACCGTCTTTCGAAACAGTGGTTGCAGCGGTGAGATTCGTGGCGCCCTTCGTAACGTCGTCGGAGGCGCGCTTCGTGACATTATGCACAAATGACGCCCACAACGTACTCTTTGGTACAGATAAACGCCTATAAGCGTCTCAGTTGTCATTTCGCTGTGTCTGAAAAGTGCGCTCTTTTCGAAAACGTACACTGTGCAACTATTGCAGTGACCTTTGTGCGCCCGGGAACTAAAACAGAATCATTCCGGCAAAATCCGTACGCCAGCCAAGACGTACGATCCCCTCTACCATGAGAGAAGGGCGCGCGAGGAGCATCGGAGCGTCGACCCCTGCTCTTTGCGGGGCCAAGTGTGCGTAGGAAATGAGCGCGTGGCTGCCGCGTCTTAATGATTTTGCTACGCGCTCCTATTGCGCCATTTTGCTGGTAATGCTGAAAACACGATAGTCCCCTCCCCCCCAAGATTCCCGTCAGCAGCGGTATGTGGATATAGCTTGCCGTTTAAAAGGGAAAGGGCATGCTCCTCCGTGGCTCAGTGGTTAAGGCCTCGCACTCACGATTCAGAGGACCGAAGTTCGAATCATCGTGCCAGAGTCTTTTTCTGGATTGTTTTCTTTCTTGCATTTTCATATATATAGATACGTATGCATTTACAGTGAGTGACGGTGACGCCGACGCCAGCGGCAAAATTTATTGATTAATCTGTGGGGTCTAACGTCTCAAAACCACCATATGATTAAGAGAGACGCTGTAGTTAAGGGCTCCGAAAATTTTGACAACCTGGGGTTCTTTCACAGTGCGCCCAAATGCGACACAATTCAATCAAGAGTGTCTGTATAATTGCTATCGCAATAAAAAGCCGCCAGTGCTCGGCATCCACACGTACTTTGCCCCACGCAGGAGGGCGGGAGGGGGGGGGGGGGGGAGGTTAGGTGCTTGTGCACTCGTGCCTATCCTTCGGTGGGGACAATCATGTGCCTTGGCCTTTCACAGGATTAAGTGCATTAGTTGCCTGGGCCCCAAAGGTCAAGTTCACTCACTGGGCAGGCCCCGTTCGCGAAAAGAGCGCTTTTAAAACCCAACAAAGTAGCAACCGGACACTCGCTAATTCGCATTGATTGATCAATTTATATGTGGAGTTTAACGTCCCAAAACCACCATATGATTATGAGAGACGCCATAGTGGAGTGCTCCGGAAATTTCGACCACCTGGGGTTCTTTAACGTGCACCAAAATTTGAGCACATGGGCCTATAACATATTCGCCTCCATCGGAAAGCAGCCGCTGAAGCCGGGATTTGATCTCGGGACTTGTGGATCAGCAGCCGAGTACCTTAGCCAATAGACCACCGTGGCGGGGCCTAGCTAATTCACACTTAAATTTATCTGTACGTGTGATAACGTTTTGTGCATCGTTTTTGTTCAAACAGCGCGTTAAGCGTCAAGTTGTAAGCGTTGTTAGTTAGCCGTCATCCTGTGTGTTCTCGTTTCGTACATCGTTTGTACGTGAGCAGTGCACATCACGTTTCGAACTGCTAGCGTAACATTACAAGTTATTGCTACGCATTCATTGCTTCGCCTTTGCGGCTAAACTGTGACTTTTCTTGAAAAAATTAATTGCAGTCGATTTTAGTGCGAGTTTCCAAACTAATGTTTGGAATTATCCATAAAGCCATTTAGGAATTTCTTACAATTGCAGCAAAATAGCCTGCGAAGCTCTAGAACTAGAACTAGGCACTAGCTAGCTTATTGGGCTTTTGCAGACCAGTAGCCACGTTAAATAAACACACAAGTGCTTTAATTCAGTTGAATGCATTGTTTTTCAAAACCAGATTTGCAACTGAATGAAAATTTTCCAACAATGCACCGCACTAGGTACGAGAAGCTTGCTCATAAGCGCAAACAAACATTGCCAATACTCTCACTTACTAACCATTTCAATGAGTATGATTTATATCACATGCCTGGAATGTGCAAGAAAAATTTTGATTAGAAGAAAAGCTAATAGTTTAAAACAAAAAGGCACAACTTCACGGCAGATTTATAAGTTGAGCCCTTCACTGCCCCTAATAGGTTAAATCTTTAGTCTGAAGATCGCATTGTGCTTGGATTTTGACAGATGAATACCCTATGTCTTTTGATATTTTTAACAAGAGCTACATGCAGTCTAGGTGTGCCAATTTCAAGAAAACTTCCAAAAATAATGCAGGAGCAAAACCCCCAATTACCGTAAAGTTTTGCAACGGTCCTATGGCAGCCACGAAACAAAATGAAGATATAAATGCTGATTTGGCTCATCGTAGGAACATACAGAAATTTTGTATTCGATATCTTAACTTTATTATTGTGTTAATAACTACATTGCTGCTCCGAGAAGTTAGCAGGGCTTTGTTATCTGAAATACCAACCTTCGTATTAGATGGCTGAGTAAGTTTGAATACCAGCTTTGTATATTCATTGCAAAGAACTTTATCCACTTCACTTGCTATATAATATACCATTTAACAATGATGTCGTGTCCTCTCGTGTACATTGCTGCGAATTCTCTGCACTACCACTGTGACTAAGGCCCGATGTCATCGCAAACAAGGATGCTTACGTACTTACTGAAACGCAGAATACACTAACTTCTAAAAATGCTCTATGGGTAACCGGAGATGTGTGTCCTTATTATGAAGCTTGGCTTGTGTAGTAACACTGCTAGTCCGTAGCATTAGTTCTTCAAAGGCCATTTGCCTGTAATAGCAGTAAATTGGATAAAGCATCAAGGTGCTGTGGTCACAGACGACTGTGCAATGATGGGGACATTTGCACAGTCGTCTGGTACGTAAAATGGCATTATGGTATGGTAGCATCATGGTACGTAAAATTAGCTGTGCTAATTTTACGTACCATAAGCAGAAAGGACTGTGCTAGCTGTGTTAGCTGTGCTAAGGCTGTCACATTCAAGAATAATTTTTGACAACAAAAAGCATCCTCCATTACGTTACTTCCTCCGCATTGCGTTTACCATCGTTTTCAACCTAAAATATAGGTACAGCAATATAAGGTGGTCTTCAGTGCAGGACAACCTACCTTCAAATCTTCACTGCGCTGACCCTGCATCACGGTGGAACACAACTTGACATAACTGAATCCCCCTTCCCACATGAGCTCAGCCTATAGGGTCAGAGCAAACTGGACCCAATCATGCAAGTAAATACTGAACCTATAATTTTTTGTCGAGTAATGTCGTTTTCTTTGTGTTTTTTATTCCTAATTACGTTGATCTATTAGTGTGTTAGAGACTTTTATCGGAATAATGCAAGTGTCACGTCATCTTACGCAAAAGTGGGAAGACATTATTACGTGACAGCAAAGGCAGACGATACATCGCGGGAAAGCTTCTCGCACAACTCAAAACACTCCATCATGTAGAGAAATAAAATCGATGGAGTCTCATTAGGGCAGGTAGCAGCAAGGTACGAAATGGATAGTGTGGACACTAAAAATTTCAGTGCAATGGCGCTTTCCCCATTAAATATGACAGCGTGGCTCAATATTAGCGTCAGCGACGCTGCGTTAACCGGCATTTTCCAACTGTTTCTATTCGACTGCCACTGATTTGCTGCAAGCCGAGTGTTTGTTCTGAACATTTAGAAAAGCCTCCATTCACATCCTCCTCCTCATCATCATTCACAGAATAATTATTCAATGAACTAAACAGGTTAGTACCAAACTTTACTGCAAAGGAAACTGTATACTGTTATAAATCCTGCACCAGAAGAAGGACTGCAGAATTAAAGGAAAAAAACTTTCCTTTACCCAGAGCCCTTCATAATAACACAGCTCTTATTTCCGCACTGTCTAAGTCTCCCCAATCTACTTTAAGTCACGATAGGGGAAGGCCTTCATACCCTTTATGAACAACTAGTATAGTTAAATTAACTGTAACTAGTATATTTATACTATAGCAAGTATGACAATAATGAGGTATTTCATGTCAGTTTTAGTTGTTGTTATAATTTACAGCAGTTATTGACTTATATATATATATATATATATATATATATATATATATATATATATATATATATATATATATATATATATATATATATATATATATATATATATAGAAAAAAGCGTTTTTCTGGGGCTGCAGATAATTCATTAAAGTTTTCTCCCTCGCTCAGCCTTCACTAGAAATGAGGACAGCCGGACTGAGATTGATAAGTGCAGCTCACACAAGCCTTAAAGCTCCTGTCAATGGCCGGCAAGTGTGTTTCTATGTGGTGCTCTTGTGTAGTGTGCAGTGTGGTTTTCATATGTGTAAGCTTAGTAGCAAAATAAACTAGATAGTAAGTGTGCCAACTTTTTTTTAAAGAACAGCTATATAAGATAGTATGCAACTGAAACCTTAATTACAATGGTAATACCAATGAACTGTTACAATTGATATTTTATGATTATAGTTAATAGAAACAGAAATACCAGCAGCCCCTCTGTGAGACACACCGGCATTCCTTACCGGCAGGCTTAATCGGAAGCTCAGTAATTGCTAGACGTACGACAAAGGGCTCACCTGGCCACCGTCCAAGGTCGCCTGTCGAAGCTTCCTGGCCAAATGAGCGCTGTCTGTTTTCATGGGCACTTGGCGACCATGGTTGGTCGACTAGCACAATGTCACGGCTGTCAGGCCTGGCGGGAAGTTTGGTGCAAGTGCAACTCTCAGCTGAGGCACATGAACAGATACCCATGGCCTTTTCAATTCCTTTGCCGGTAAGCCCTGCCACTGCCTCACCGACCACATGCTCTGCACAATCCTGTGGGCAAAGCGTAGGCTGCATTAGCTCCAGCTCGTCGCAGATGCCATCGGGACAACTCTCTAGATCTCCAGTGCAGGTGCTAAAATGTTTGGTGAGGTGTAGTCCGTCAGAGCCGTGGCGCCAGCGGCAGCGCCCGTCAACCGTGCCTGGACCACACGTCGCCAAGCACTGGGTCTCACTCAGTTGCTGACCACAGAGGCGTCCTTCTGCGCAGAGGCAACAGCGTGGATTACCAGGTGGCGCAATGTGAGAATAGATTTGTTAATATTAAAGTATGCGGTTAATACTTGCGTATATAGGGAAAAACTTCTGGACCATGAACTACTCGGGCAACACGCAAGAAGAGGTAGTGTTATCGATTACCAGCTGGCCCTACAATGTACTTGACGTTGTGTAAAAACATAGCGAAAAACATGATTCGGGCCAGAAATGTGACGACGTCTTTTTATTTGGTTTCGATTAGTATCAGCAGTTTGTAGTTTTGCTTGTTGGTAATGTATTTCTTACATGAAAAACGAAAGCAATGGCCCGTATGCCAAAACAAAAAATAAACACACCCCCCGTCTGTCGCGCTCATATTGATTTATACATTTTGCGGTACCTTAAAAACCTCTATTGAGGCATGTTGTAATCGGGCCAATACAAACAGTGAGATTCCTCGATGCCTCAGTCACACAATAGGCATTAACACCAGTAATGTAATAGGTTGCATATTGAAAAAAGTGCAGTATAAAATACTGTGGGCATTTAGTATACGCTTCCTCTTCACCGGTACATTATCATCATTATCATGTGTGGCTCATGCATCCTCATCGTTGTCGCGTAGCATCATCATCCTGGCTCATTCATCGTAGCTGTCGGCTGCCGGTTCCTCGGGCCTAATAAAAGGTAATCCAGACCAAGACTTCATACGTGGTGGAGAGTGCTGTTAGATCCCTCGTCATCCTCTCGACCACTGTACCCCCTGGAGCTACGTTCAGGTCGCCGCTTGGGCCAGGTGTCCGGAAATATGTCGCACCAAGATGAGGCCGGTGCTGCAGCCGTTCCCACTCAACCACTGCGTGCCGCGCCTTCTCACGTCATCAACAACCTCCAGCGTGAGCCCCATCCCTTCGCTGGTATGCGCGGGGAAGATGTGGAAGAATGGCTGGATGATTTCGAACGTGTCGGTGCTGCTAACCGGTGGGATAACGCCTACAAACTGGCTCACGTGTCATTCTACCTCACGGGTGTCGCGAAGACGTGGTTTCTCAACCACTTCATCGACATCCCCGACTGGTCAGTCTTCAAAGATCAGCTTCGCCATGTCTTTGGCACACCGGCTGTTCGTTCGGCTCTCGCAAAGAAAGCTCTCGCGACTCGGAAACAGCACATCGGGGAGTCGTACACATCCTACATCGAGGATGTTCTTTCACTTTGCCGCCGGGTTGACACACCAATGACAGAATCAGACAAGGTGCGCCAGCTTCTTAAGGGGATTGCACCCGTCGCATTCAACGCCCTAGCGATCCAAAATCCGGCTACCGTTGCTGACGTTGCGACAACCTGTCAGTGCCTCGAAGAACTTGAATCTATGCGCCTACAATCAGACAGTGACGCGGCCCGTATTACGACTGATCCAAACCTGCGAGACACGATAAGGGCGATTATACGTGAAGAATTAGAATCAATGGGATTCACACTACCTTCAGTGTGTCCCATTCAGTCTTCTTCAACGTCATTGCGAGATGTCATCAGGGAAGAGCTCACGTCCATGACCCACATGGCCAACCTGCAGCCCATTGTCTCTCGTACTCTACCATCGTTCCCGCACACCGCCGCCGCACCACCAGGCACCATCAGCTCGACGTCCCCGCCACAAACGTACGCGTCGGTTGCTGCCGCACCTCCCACAAGCTTTCCCACGAGCTTTTCATCACCACCGCGTGAGCCGTCACCTGTCCCTCTGACTTCTCTCTCTCCTGGTGCAGTTAGCGCAAGCTACTACCCTCCTCATCGATCGACTCGGCCTACGTGCTATTATTGCGGCTATCGTGGTCACATTGCACGCTTTTGCCGCAAGCGCCAGCAAGACGAGCGCCGAGGGTATGACATACGCGAACGGGACTATACCGCAGGAGCCTTGTACCAGGGTCGCCGTTATTCGTCACCGCCGCGTCGGTCTCCATCTCCGCCAGCATCGGGTGAACTGCGCAGTAGTCATCGATCAACCCGACGCCGTTCACCGTCGCCTTACCGGCGCTCTTCTTCTCCTTTCAGCCTGCTTCCCTTACTTCTGATCGGCGTCCGGAAAACTAAGCGATGCAGTTTTTGGAGGACAAACTGCATTCCAACACAGGACTCCAATTCCTCCAGCGCGCCCCTACAATATAATTGCGGTCACAGTTGAGGGAGTGGACGTTGATGCTTTGGTGGACACTGGGGCTGCGTTTTCTGTTATTCGTGCTGATTTGTGTGCCCGTCTTCGAAAAGTCACGACGCCTTATGATGGACTGACACTGGTTACAGCCCAGGGAACAATGATTCGCCCTTCCGCTTTCTGTACTGCCCGTGTACTAATCGACGAAATTCTTCATCATATAGAATTTGCTGTGCTATCCCCGTGCTCCCATGAACTCATTTTAGGCTGGGACTTTCTTTCCTCTGCTTCTGCGGCTATTTGCTGTGCACAACGTGTCGTCCATCTTACTGACACGGACCACTTGCTCAACGACGAAACCTACAGGCCACTTCGACTCATCGCTGCAGTAGACATCGAGTTACACCAAACGAACATCAATTAGTGACAGTTTTGTCCAACGACGTCGACTCTGGTGACATTTTGGTCACTCCGTCACCGTGTTGCCTTAATAAAGGCATAGATCTGGCATCAGGTGTGGCTCGCTTCAACAATGGATAAACTGTCCTCGCTGCTACCAACACCACACAAGATAAAATTTTACTACCACAGGGCACTACTGTCGCCTGCGTTGCCGATCTGCAGCCTGTGTGCGTTGTGCCTCTTACCCCTGTCTCCTCTAAAGGCCATCCTGCAGATCATGCTGCTCCCTCGGCCTTTACAGCAGCCATCAACAAAGACTTGAATGACTCACAGAAGCAGCAGCTGCTTGATTTGTTGGAAAAGCATGCAAACTCCTTTGACGTTCATTCATCCACCCTGGGCCAGACAACTGCTACAGCACATCGTATTCAGACCGACGGAACATCCATTGTGCACCGCCGTCCGTACCGCGTCTCCCTAGCCGAACGAAAAATCATTGAGGAAAACGTAGACGATATGCTGCAACGGGAGATAATCCGACCCTCAACCAGTCCTTGGTCGTCTCCAGTGGTTCTGGTGCGTAAAAAAGACGGTTCCGTACGATTTTGCGTCGATTACCGAGCACTCAATAAGATCACTAGGAAGGACGTATACCCCATGCCACGTATCGACGACGCCCTCGATTCTTTACAAGGTGCTGAATTCTTTTCAAGCCTCGACTTGCGTTCCGGCTATTGGCAAATCCCCATGCACGAAGATGATAAAGAGAAAACTGCGTTTGCGACCCCGGACGGCCTATACGAATTCAATGTTATGCCGTTCGGTCTATGCAATGCGCCCGCAACTTTTGAGCGCGTGATTGACACCGTGCTGCGTAGCCTGAAATGGAAGACTTGCCTATGTTACCTCGATGACATTGTTGTCTTTTCATCGACGTTTCCTCAACATCTGCAACGCTTGGACGAGGTCCTGACTTGTCTTGCGGGCACTGGTCTTCAAATTAACACCAAAAAGTGCCATTTCGCCAGCAGATCTATCAAGGTACTCGGTCATATTGTGAGCAAGGACGGAATTCGTTCAGACCCTGATAAAACTGCTGCAGTGCTTCGCTTCCCTCGCCCTGACAAACCAAAATATTTGCGAAGTTTCCTTGGTCTCGCCTCTTACTTTCGGCGATTCATACAAAACTTTGCCTCCATAGCCGCACCACTTCATAAGCTACTTGCTTCCGGTATGCTCTTTCAGTGGTCTCAGGAATGTGAATCGGCTTTCGACAGGTTGAAGAGTGCCCTCACGACCGACCCTGTACTTGCTCATTTTCACGATGATGCGCCGACCTTCCTGCACACAGACGCTAGCGGCCGCGGTTTAGGAGCCGTGCTCCTGCAACGCGACAACTCTTCGCGAGAGCGAGTCGTTGCATACGCCAGCCGCGTCCTCTCCGCAGCCGAGAGGAACTACACGATAACCGAGCAGGAGTGCCTCGCCATCGTTTGGTCAGTACAGAAATTTCGTCCATATCTGCATGGCTGCCATTTCACCATTGTGACCGACCACCATGCTTTATGTTGGCTTTCGACACTCAAGAACTTGTCGGGACGCCTCAGACGCTGGATTCTACGCCTCCAAGAATATGATTTTGAGATCGTGTACAAGTGTGGCAGGAAGCATAGTGACGCCGACGCTCTTTCTCGCTGCCCACTACCAGCGACTCCACTCGGGGTTTCCGCCATCGATTTGCACAACACGCCCTCGGAGTCCACGTCTACAGCGGTTTCCTCTCTCGTCTCTATGAACCAGCTGCCTTCGGACGACCCGCACAATTTTCCTTCTCGACAGTTGGCTGACCCATACTGTCGACGTATTATAGACTACCTCACTGGCAGTTCCCGTCCACCTAATGCAAGGCTCCGTCGCCAACTCTCGCAATTTAAACTGGACAGCTCGGTGCTGTGCCGCAAAATTTACCATCCTGACGGTCAGCGCTGGGTTCCCGTTCTACCCCGATCACTTCGGTCCGAAGTCCTCAGGGCACTTCATGACCATCCGACTGCTGGTCACCTTGGTTACCATAAAACCTACGATCGCCTTCGAAGTCGGTTTTATTGGCCAGGCATTACCACTAGTGTAGCTCGGTACGTCGGGTCCTGCATTACCTGCCAATGTAGAAAACTACCAACATCTGCTCCCGCCGGTAAACTACAGCCTCTTCCGTGCCCAGCCACACCATTCGAAGTTGTAGGCGTCGATCTTTATGGCCCCCTCCCAGTCAGTGCTGCTGGAAACCGGTGGATAGTAACAGCCATTGACCATTTGACGCGCTACGCCGAGACGGCATCCGTTACTACAGGTTCAGCTTCAGAGATTGCCGATTTCATCCTCCGAGCCATTATACTGCGTCATGGTGCTCCACGTGTGTTGCTCAGTGACCGTGGAAGGGCCTTTCTTTCACAACTAGTGAACGAACTTCTTCAGGCCTCCGGCACAACTCACAAGACTGCCTCTAGTTATCATCCCCAGACTAACGGCCTCACTGAGCGATTCCACCGCACTCTTGCTGACATGATCGCCGCCTATATTCAACCAGACCACAAAAACTGGGACGTTATTCTACCATTCATCACTTTCGCCTACAATACGGCCATTCAGCGAACAACCGGCTACTCGCCATTTTACCTAGTTTATGGACGCTCCCCTACTTCTTCCCTTGACGTCTCCTTCTTTACCTACCAAGCGAATTCATCTCCATCCTCTTCAGAAGAATACGTTTCACGACTCGCACAGTGCCGCCAACGAGCTCGTATAAACACTGAAGCCCGCCAGCAAGACAGAAAGCTACTTTATGATGAATCGCATCGTGATGTATCCTTCCAACCTGGAGACGAAGTGCTCCTTTTGACGCCGGTTCGCACACCTGGTTTGTGCGACAAATTTCAGCCTCGATTTATTGGGCCGTACACCGTTCTTGAAGAGACTTCACCAGTGAATTATCGCGTGACACCACTTGTAGCCCCAGCAGATCGCCGTTATCGAACTACAGAGGTCGTCCATGTCTCCCGTATGAAGCCCTTCATGCGACGTTCTTTGTCTTCTTGACTTGCCGCGGCCAGGCTGGCCGCTTTCACGTGGGGGGAATTGATGTGGGCATTTAGTATACGCTTCCTCTTCACCGGTACATTATCATCATTATCATGTGTGGCTCATGCATCCTCATCGCTGTCGCGTAGCATCATCATCCTGGCTCATTCATCGTAGCTGTCGGCTGCCGGTTCCTCGGGCCTAATAAAAGGTAATCCAGACCAAGACTTCATAATACTTATTTTCTTTGTGTGCTATCGGTAATACAACTAATGTGTCAGAAATAAACACATCAAGAGTAATTATTGCAGCGATCATCACGCATCACCAAGAAAACTCTATGAACAAATTAAAAAAGAAAGGCCAATGAAACATCTCACCGTCTGCAAGTTTTCTGAGGACAGTTAAGGTTATAAGGTTATTCTTTTTGTTGTTATTGTTTTTCAGGAGGGGGGCGGCTACGGGAAGGGTGACAGAGCATGCCTTAGTTCCAAATGTTAGTAAAACATTAGTAAGAAGGGATAACCTGCAAGTTGACTCCTCCCTAAAGTTGGTTTGAGTCCTCGGGACTATATACGTCGTGTAAGCACCATACCTTTTAATGATGATCGTGATAATTAGAAGACAGCTGTCTATGAATTTAAAGAGCGTCTTTTCAACACCATAAATTGTAGGCAAAACAACTTTTTACGCCCCTAAATTCATAAATATAGGCAAAATAATTTTATTATAAATATAAACAAGTTCAAATGGAGACGTGCATGACCTGTATCAAACGACAGCGAAACAAACATGTATTGTTTATGATGACATGAATCTAGCAACACTTGAACATAACCACTCAACTGTCCTTTTCCCGTGTTGTTTGCCGAACATGGTCTCGGTATTTATTCTGCAGCGCGGTGGGTCAAGTGCCCGCTATTGAATTTATGTTTTTTTTAACATAGCTGAGAAGAGTTCAGCAGAAGCAGATAGCCAGGCCACTTTTTATCAGAAGGCAGGAATATGCCTCGTCTTGGCAGGGTTGAATTGCGCAAAACTGATTTGTTCCCTGGGGTTTCTTAACCTGCACCTAAATCTAAGTACACTGCAGTTTGAAAGGGTTGACGCTTGGGCATGATGGGGATTCATTTAAAAAGTGTTAACAGCGCATTGAATGATTGATTAGGAAAGGACGAGACAACAAAGTCAAAAGGCACTGACTGGGTTCCTTTTGTCTCGTCCTTTGCTAATCTTTCTATGCGCTGTTAACACTTTTTGAGAAGATAAGTACACTGTTTTCCAACATGTCTGGCTTCATGGAAAAAGTGTCCCCGAAGCCAGGATTCCATCCCACTACCTTCCGGTCAGCAGTCCTTGACCACCGAGGAGTATATTGATACGCTCTGTCTATAGTTTCATAGGACAGCCTTTTAGTGCTCATGAGCGTGTTTTTCTTGGTCGTCGTCATCGTCGGAAAAGAGTGGCTTAGAGTAAACGCAGTGCTTAGCGGGACTTAATGACAGTGATCGCAGAGACAATGAGAGGAGGAAAGTGGAGGAGTGACGAAAAACAGAGCGTCAATAGAGACGTACTTCATGCATGATTGCCCAAGAGTATCACCCAGTCCCCAGTAAGAGAGCGGGAGAGATTTTTTATTAGAAAAACGGATTTTTTGCTAGTGCATACATACCGCTGGCATGCTACTCTGTATGTTGATGGGGAAGGAGACTTCAGAACAGAGGAAATTGAAGAATGATAAAGGAGAATTATAAACAAGTGTCAAATGTGTCAGTGAATCTGATAAAAGTATTGAAAAATAGTTGGCAGGTATGTTAATAAATTTCTTGTGTGAATTGTTCTATCATTGGAGCTTTCTAAGAAGGCCGATTTCAGGCAGGTAATTGACTAATGACAGTACATTGTGCAAAATATTAGGCCCATTGCCCATGTCTTCATTACAGCACCAATGTAGTCATTACTAGTCATGTGGCGAGTGTGTTCACCGATACCAAGTATGAAAACAAAGCGTGTCTATGGTCTGTGGCTAGACTTCGTAAGGTCTACTTCATTGTACCGCCACTGCAAGAGAATTCTTCCCGCGTTTGCCTTCTGTTCCCGCGGTCAAGTTTCCTGTATGAACAGCGAGGGACGCAACCAGTGGAAGTGCTCTGCCGGCCGCTGCTGCTAAACGATCTGCCTGAGTAAAGTTTCAGTGACACCTTGACTTCTGCTGTGCCTAAATGTGTCAATATTGAGTATCGTAATCATCATTATTATTAGCAATATCTTCTTTTTTTGTACAGCATTTTTCAAGTGACAGCCTGGTGCTCTGAGTTTCCGTGATCAACCCTACACGTCTCACGCCATGGCTAGTGACGCTGCAAAAACTGTGTGGACGATTCGCTCACTAGAATAATGGGCATTTCTAGAGTCAAGGCACATGACTGTTTGAAATTTAGACCGTGCTGACGCTGCATACCCGTTCCCTACCGTAGATACACGATACCCACCGCAGAGCTTAAGAGTGACGGTCCTTTGTTTGAAATATTGAAATGGCTTTTTAAAGCTTGGCTAGGAGGCTTATTTCCAATGCTAAAGAGCTTATTAAACTTTTTTCGCTTGTGACGATAAAGCTTCGAGGCCGATTGTGCATCAGGGAATCCATCCATGGGATGTTCTTTTTAAGATAACGCAGCAGGCAATGATCACCCTAACAATGTACATAGACTACGCACGATCGTCCAGTAACAGAAAGATCACCCATGCCCAAACTGTGAAAAGCTTGCTGTTTGAACAAACTTATAGAATTATCTTGTTCAAACCATAAAGATGCAAACTTCACAGAGAACAATGTCCTGCGTTAAAAAAAAGCTCACAATATGCATGAAAAATACAGCTGAAATAAACAACTTGAACCAATATAAGAATATTTTTGGTACGCATGTAAAACTGCAAATGTCTCGCTATTGCTGTTATTAACAACCTTCATTAGTATAATTAGTAAAAGTTGAAATGTATATATACATTACTGACACTTACCGCACTGATCCGCTTGTTGGTCATCTGTAAGCAGAGCAAAAAAAAACGTGGTTTGCATCTTATTTATCAGTACAGTAAAAATATATGTAAATTCATATCTTTGTAAGTCTCTGTCTGCGTCATGAACCAACTTGCGCCAACTCTTCGTACCAAAGCATTTTTTTTCTTTCAATTCTTCCGAAGGTCTCACTAATGTTTTTTTTTTGTGCACATAAGCTTTCTATTTGACAATTTACTTACCCCCATACTAATAATACTTAAATATATATTGCTGCCATTATCAAGCGGGGAAATTTCGGCAAGTGTAACGTTCACAAAGCTGCTTGGTGGTATGCCTACTCAATTTCGACAGAGTCAGATGATCCACCCGCGTATTTACTCAATGTTTTCTCTTTTGTTAGCATAAGCGTATTATAAAGCTTACTCTGAAAATCAGGGATTCAAGGTAAATAATGCTGTTTTACAAGCATGCAAATGAATGAATGTGTTTCTCTTTATCACAACTGTTAATATGCTCATTTAATAGACACATCATGGAGAACCAGTTATTGTTGCGCATTTCAAAACCATGCGATGTGCTTTATTTGTATAAACAAAGCGGTATTGGAGTGTTAATTCAATATTATTAGAGATGGTATTGATAATTATAGTATTAACACTATTGTAAGTGGTATTAGGCACAAACACCACGATGGGATAGTGAGAGATGCCACAATGGGGGGCTCTTAAAAGTTTGACCGTCTGGTGTTCTTTAACGTTAACTAACATCGCACAGTATATAGGCCTCTATCATTTCGTGTGGGGCGCGTAAATGTGGGGCGGGTTTGTTCAGACATAAGCCACATTCTGTGAAGAACAGCTGTCAAAGTGTTTGTTAGCTTGTATGAAGTGCCACATCAAGTGTCTGTCACCAAATGGTTTTACTCAATTATCAAGCAAGTGCCACAATGAGGAGTGTGTGTTGTAGTAACCTGCACGAATGAGTTGCTGTTCAGTGTCCAGAAAAGCAGTGGTAAACAGTCATCACCATCTATTTGTACGCTGCATTATCTATTCACATCTACCTTACTATACGCATCCTCCAGCCTTGTTATTTATATTTGCTTTTTTTCTCTGGGAAACACACAAGCACGCATGCACTCATGAACACATGCACATGGGCACACACACACATAAACGGACACACAAGCACGAATACAAATACAAGCAGGCTGAAAACACACATACACAAACGCACACACTTACAGACACACACAAACACATTCACGTTGCATCCACATGGTCCGCATAACATTGATTCCCAAGGTACGTGGGATCCGCCGAGACATAGACGTTATGAGAATCATTGGATGCAAGGTGAATGCGCTTTATTTTTTTATTCAGCTAAACTCTATGAGATGCCGCTCAATATATGTACAAACCTACGTACACACATATGTTAAACAGCCGTATATGTTATACATTAGCAGTTGTTCACAGTTGCATGACGATGCCAACAGAACTATGAATATTAGCGAAACCAGAAGTGGGAAGCTGATATTGAGCGCTGGTGTTTGCACTGAGACTCACAAGGATAATAGCCCTAAACACTGCTACACAAATAAACCTCAGCGGATGATGCCTAACTACAATTGAGGTTAACGCTACATGACGGCTGTATCATAGGAGTACATATGTAATGTTTATAAAATTCGATAACCAGTACTACAACCAGAATTGACATTGCATGGACATTATAGAGTCTATTTTACAAGTACTTTTGTGACCGGACGTGGCTCTATGCTAGAATACTTGATTACCACGCAGAATTTTAGGGTTCGATTTCTGTGGGGACAGTAACATTTATTTTTGCAGTCGTCCTGTCAACGCTGCCCATGTTAGTATTTTCTCAACGCTCAAGCGTTAAAATTATGCATGTGTTCTCTCATCGTTCCTGGGTATAGATATAACATATCCATCACCTGTGGTACATACCCGCCTATCAGTGGCACATACCCATCCCCGGGTATGTGACAAGCTACAATGCACACGAAAATATTGGGGCATTATTTGATTGATATTCGGGGTTTAATGTCCCAAAACCACCATATGATTATGAGCGGCACCGTAGTGGAGGGCTCCGGAAATTTCGACCACCTGTGGTTCTTTAACGTGCACCCAAATCTGAGCACGCGGGCCTACAACATTTCCGCCTCCATAAGAAATGCTGGGGCATTATTAATGTCATGAGCAGAGCGTCGTAATCGTCGAGACATTTTACCTTCCCGTACTAATTTTGGTGTCCTGCAAGTTAAAAGTGTGATCGTGAGAGCACCCAGACGTAGCCGGCTGGATAGATAGATAGATAGATAGATAGATAGATAGATAGATAGATAGATAGATAGATAGATAGATAGATAGATAGATAGATAGATAGATAGATAGATAGATAGATAGACAGACAGACAGACAGACAGACAGACAGACAGACAGACAGACAGACAGACAGACAGACAGACAGACAGATAGATAGATAGATAGATAGATAGATAGATAGATAGATAGATAGATAGATAGATAGATAGATAGATAGATAGATAGATAGATAGATAGATAGATAGATAGATAGATAGATAGATAGATAGATAGATAGATAGATAGATAGATAGATAGATAGATAGATAGATAGATAGATAGATAGATAGATAGATAGATAGATAGATAGATAGATTTAGATAGATAGATAGTGCCGAAAGTGCTAGCAGTACCCAAAACAATGCTTCGCACTTAACCTGAAATTCTTTAAAACAGATGTTCAAAAGTAGTGATAAAGTATTGATGGAGTCAGCCTGAAGTATTCATCACCAGGTGGTGTGGTAAATTAGTTAATGTGGCTAAAAGTATCCACCGATGACAATCTTGTTATTGAGTGGTTTTAGCGAACCCAATAAAGGCAGAATGACCTGCAATAATCATTTCACAGAACCGGTAGCCTATTGGTATAACTTGAGACCAGGTTATAAGCAACTGCCTATTTTGTTTTATGCGTTCCTATCATTCCACTTTATTATATGAGAATAGATTAGAGGTCAAGAAGGGCTCCTATAGTATTTTATGGTGCCTATAAATGCCTATTTTTTACGTTTGTGCCTAGATTTGTATAAGTGCCTCTAAATGCCTACTGGCAAAATCGGTGCCTATATGAACACTACATAACTTCAAATTTTCCTTTCGAGCACAATATGAAAAACGTTATTCATGATACTGAGCAAAAGTGAGCTTTCAAAACTGTAAGGGGTGCAACCAAGACTGCATCTCTGAAGTTCCTTTGAACAGTGCGTCGATGCTACAAGGATCCTTGGCCAATAAGAAAGTCCATAAGCCTCTACATATGTATTTTTGCTCGTCACGTAGTCTTCTCGGCATCTTTCAGGCATCTGTTCGCACACGTAAGGAACAGGAGGTGTTTCCAGACGGTGGAGAACGAATGCAAAACCCTGTAATGTCATCAAAAGAAAGTAGAGTGTAGGTTAAAGAAAAACATAAAAATCAGATGGCTACGAGGTTTTTTTTTTGTTTGTTTGTCATTTACTTCTTGAAGAGTGCTTCATCAGATCATATGAAAAATTTTAGGTAGACACTAGAAGTTTTCGCATGCCCAGTGAAAATATATGTACCTCAATACTTCTTATATTGGCTTATTACGAGTTGTGAAAACATGATGCGAATAGTTAAGCTTGAAACATTTTCTACTCGCCCGGTGTCGACTTCGCGAGCCTAATTCCCACCCTAGCCACTTCGGTATCGGGGCAACTGGGAGCTGGACGATGACACAATGCAGACGCATTTATATGTCATGCGCATGCAAGGATGGATTAACATAAAATGCCACTGCCAGGCTGTGCACGCAAGCAGTGTTTAGGTTGTTTTAGCGTTTTATGTATTTTACCGCCCGTTTCTGTGGAATGGATCTCTCAACGCGCACACACGTGGAGATGCTGACATGGATCTTGTATCCTTACCACGATACGCAGCGTCACACTGCTGGAACTGCTTCAAGGCACGAAGCACCAAAAACAGGCCAAGCGTTGTCATCCCTCGCACAGACACGACGCGAGAACAGCCAGAACCCATTCTAATGCGTCAAGACAAGAACTTTCTGAAACTCTGGATAAACTAAATGATCGGCCTTTGTCAGAACAAAGGATTCTGGGTCATTAGCCGAGCTCATTCTCAGCCAAGAAGGCTTTGAAATCTTTGCTACGCTTTTTGTGGACAACTGGCCTCAGAGACAGACATAGTGTCTTATTCTCTTTAATTTGGTCTTTCCTTTTTCACTATTTTTCGTATTTTCTGTCTCTCTCTCTCTGACTTCAACATTTCTTTTCTATCATTTTTTATTTCCCTCATCCCTTTCCCCAGCACAAGGTAGTAAGCCGGTCTAAGAACCGGCTAATCTCCCTGTCCTTCCACTTAATATCTTTCCTCCTCCTCCTTCTGCAATGCAAACAGAAGGGAGGTTACTTAGTTTCTGATCTTGCTCGATACGAAGTTAAGAAAATATCACGCAGATATTATGTTTTTGTGTTTTAATATTTCTATAAGCCTTTGTACTTCTATTCAAGCAACAGATTGCACAAATCATACTTGCCACCTCGAATAATTCTCGTAGTGTCACGTACTATTTTGACTATTCCTTGTTTTGCATACGTCACCACCTCTACCGTGTTGGGGCGCGCGCCAGTGAGATCACCGGCAAGTGGCGCGCTCAGTCTGACATTTCACATCTTTCCGGGACACGTATCGTTGCCAATCATGGCAGGCAAAATCAAGAGTGCGCCGTGCATGCATTTCTTTTGCCTGATCGAAATACTCAAACTTGGTAAGAGCCATTTGAGGGCTTCAAAGACAGAGAAGAAATTTACCCTTTGCAGTTAGAGCCGGTTATTACAAAGCTAAAAGACCCTTCTAGCTTGTTTGAATTCTAGCTGTTTGCTCCTGTGCTGCCCTTTTCTGCCATGCCGAAAACAAGCAGTCCAGGAGCG